TCTGTTCTGCTGCTGCGCAGGTGTTAGTTTGAAGTATTCTTGCAGTTATGTTTTGCCTTATTTCCTCCATACTGCCTTATTTCTGTGTTTGGCTGTGTTACCATCCAGGTGGGCAGAACAGCTATCTTTTCTTGAAAAAACGCTGGGGCCTCCTTTTTGGAAATGCCAGACTGGAGAGGGATTAATGCATAGATGACCATTCACCTCTAGTATTTTTCACTTTTGATTTCCGTGTTGCGACATTGTTGTCATATCTGTTCTGCTGTGCTCTTATCTCTGCGGACCTCCCTGAAACTGAGCTGTGAGCAAACACGCTGCAGTTGAGGAAGTTCTCATGGCTGTTTCTCAGTAGTCGAGTCTGATTCCACTCTCTAGTGCTCTGTGCTTGGTAATCTTTGTTTCTGGGTGCACATGTGACTGTGTGAAGGGCACATTGAGCTCTTCACTCTTCCCCTTGTGCCTTGGGGTGCTCATAGCAAACATTTCCTCATGGCTTGTTCTTCACAATACATATACATGTGCTCCCTTAAACTCCCAGAACTGTCAGAGATTTAACATGTTAGAATACATTCAGGATTGGGAGTCATGGCCAGCTGAAATAAAATCCCTTCAGTCTTCTATGAGTCGTCTCTCCAGTATTCCTGATGTTGAAATCTGTAAACTTTCCCGTGTGAATCTTGTGTGATTAAAGAAGAGACATAGCATTTGTGCTCTGTGTAGCTATCTTTCCACCAAGCGCAAGTTTGCCTAACTGGGCAATTTCCACCTTCTGAGTGACTCATATTTCTTCTTACCTCATGGTAAACAATCATTTACAAACCTTTTCCTGAAACTGTCTGTCAGCCTGGTTTGAATTACCCCTCTTGAGGAAGTGTGGCTCAGCGTCTCAGTCAGAGACATTTTAAGAACACGAGACCAGTTACAAATGAGTGGAAGTCATTTGGCCCACCTAGATCATTTAGCAGTTAATAGTTAATTTATTCCAGGATCTCATCCAGCCATTTCTTGAAAGAAGCCAGTATTATCAGCATCATTTACAAGGACAGGTAGCTCCCACAACCCTTACTCCTGAGGAGTCTGTTCCTCTGCTGGTGATGGGTGAAATGTGTGACCTGTGCACCGCAGCAGGTGAGGGAAATGGTGCTTCTTTTTCCTCCCTGGATTTACTGGTCTACCAGCCATGCAAGTGAACTGGTTTTTGTTCTGTTTGATGTTGTGTGGGCAGCACTGTGGCGCATTGGGGTCTCGTGCATTGGGGTCCCTGAGTTCTGTTCCTGGGGTGCTATCTGTGTGGAGGAAGGGTTCCTCCAGGGGCTCTGGTTTCCCCCCACAGCCCAAAGGCATTCTGATGGGTTAATTAGCTTCTGGGAAAACTGGAATGTGTGTTTCTGTGTCTGCCTTGTGAGCGACTGTCATCCTGTCCAGGGTCTATCCTGTCTCGTGCCCGTTATTTGCCAGGTTAGGCTCCATGCCCCCTGCCCAACCCCATGTTGAATAAAGAAGTCACAAGAGGGTTGGATTTATGTGGTGTGTGGAGATCCAGAGCCAGAAATCGATGCCCTTAATGAACCTGCTACAGGCCAGTCAGGTCAAAAGTCAGCCCATGTGATGCAGCTCAAAACACAGGCCTGTGTGAGTTTGTTGGTTCGGCTGGTGAGCAAAATCGAAGCTTCTATCACGGTGATCATGATATAATTATATGGTTTCTCTCTTTCTGTCTCTCTCAGGAACAGCATCCGGCTTATCCGTCACCACCAACACACCTGTAGTCCAAGTGCCAGAGAACTCAGGTTGGTCTTCCTGTGTGACACTGCCTGCTTTCATTAGGGGGGCTTTACAGAGACTAACGCTCAGTGTAATCGTGATAAAGCCAGGTGTCTCTGTTCGCTTACTGTCGAGAAACATCTTAACTTTGTATACAAAGTGATTCCTTGGCAACTTAGACTCCTCACAGCTACACCTGGTCAGGACTGCACCCCCCTGTGCCAAGAATCAGGACATGATTGTCAGGTACTGTTGACTTAGAAAAGCAGGACATTAGATAAGGAAGCAGTGTGGACTGAAGGTGGGGTCAGAGGTCAAAGTTAAGGCTTGTGAGATGCAAGGGCTGCTGAGCTATGCTAGGCAGGAAGATAGCAGAGAAGTAATTCTTCTAGTTTAATAAGATAATATCCTTTTTAAATCACATAATTTGTTCTACTTTTTCTTTCAGGGGCAGATCTAAACTGCCAGTATTCTGCTGACTTTGTGAACCCAAGAGTTGAATGGAAATACAAGGATAAATCAGGATCTCAAGTTTTCCTGTTTTATGATAGCAAACCAAC